AAGTCGGTCAAAGACTGGCTCAAGTCTGGATGATTGGGGCAGTAAAGGGTAAATAGCGCCCCAAAAGTTTTAAACTTATAAAATTTCAAGTCAAAACAATTCCACCCCAACCTATCAACGCCTCCCGGGGCACATCGCTCACATCGTTGTTGGGGAATCCCCAACAGGGGGAGGGGTCGTATTTGGCCGCCAGGAGAGGGGGTCGTATTTGGGCTGAGAAAAATTTATTTTGATAGTTGATTTTTCTCGCTTCACGGACGTTGTAAGGGGAGGGGGGTCGTATTTACTTTCTGGCCTTTCTAGGAGTGGTGGGAGTGGTGGTTGACTTTTCGTGATTTTCCTGTTTCATGCGTACTATATCCCCCCGCTCGAGAGGCTCGATTCGATGAGGAGGGACAAGAGTCGGAGACAAACCTCCAAAACGCGGGAGGGGGGGGGGCTTGTACGGACTCGACTAAAATATCCAACCATTGATGTGCCATCCAACCAATGATATGCCCTGATGCCTCTGCACCATTGCACTCCCTATGCAATGAATTTTCTGCTGCATAGTCCCTCGTATAGCGCTCATCAGTTTGAACACTACAGGGAACCATTATTGGCTGCAGGAAAAGTGAGCAGTATTTTGCTCGTCAAAAAAGTGATGCTTGTTGATTTTTCCCATTTCACGCGCGTTATAGCCGCCCCCTCAGCACGTGGCAAACTTGCTTATTCATCGCAGCCGTCTGCCCCACCGCCCACACCGTCCTACACAAAAGTGCTGGAAAAAGGTGGGAAGATGGTAGGTAAGATGTGGGTCGCATCAGAGAAGGAACATGAGGGGCAGCTCGTATACGAGAACCCTTCACGAAGTGATGGAGTGCCTTGGACCACCTTGGCGAAAAAACACTCACCACTCTTCGTCGAGAACATTCCCACATGGTGAGAGCTCTATAAAATGAGCAGAATGAAAAACAAGGCACGCCAAGATCCAAGCGTGCATAAAACGAAGAAGAGGCACTTTCAGACTAGTTCGCACTTGTGGCATCAGCTCTTATCTCTTATCAAATAAAGAGATTTAGGAGGCGAAATAACCACACCACGCAAGCTTCAAAAAGGAAATTTGTGTGCTGATTTGGACAGTGGGCGCCATAGAAGTTTTCTGTACATCGAGTGAACGTGCTAATGAAATTATCACTATGAAATTCGTTACGCATCCCAGTGAATAATGAAACGAGGGAATGGTAGCGTGGTTTGTTTACACTCCGTCTAAGGGCGTGTGAATTGAACCACTTTTTTTAAATCCCTCAGTTGCTTTTCGCTATAGCCAAACAACTGAGATCACTTCACAAAACAAAATAAAGCACATTCAGTAAGAACAGGTGTGGTTTCTTTTGCTTTAAGGATCTCTCCTAAAATGTTAAACCCATAGTGCTCGACGCGGACTCTCGTTTGTTTCTAGCTCTAGGCTGTCGCATACCAGATAACTACTTTATTGACAAGGCTCATCTCAGAAGTAAGACAGAAACTGAAGATCCTGTCGCTCGAACTCGAAATGAGTTTCGGATATTACGAGCGCCTAAAGTTCGTACGATGTTCATTGGAGCCTGGAAGAAGAAGTCGAGTTGTGAGGTTCCGATGAAAAATGATAGACCCCTTACAAAACTTCGTCAACCCCTCCGCATGTTCATGTCAATGGCTAATAAGGAAGTAAGCACCGTACCTCGCTAGAAACGCGAGATCAGCTCAACGACTTTAAGGTACGGTTGCTTATGCATCCCTATTAGTTTTGATAGGTCCGGAGGGGTATTAGTTATTTGATTAGTCGGGGGGGGGTCTAGAAGTTTGGCATTATATGCCGTAAAAGTCATAACTCGATTTCCGTTTCCCAGGCTTCGAAGGAGACGATGTCCTCGAAAAGTTAGCAGACGATTCCTATTGCCAACTTCGTTTCGAGTTCGAGCTCCATCGAGCGTCGTACGTGGCGTCTTCGTCTTCTCTCCTTCTAGCATTCTTCTTCCAAGAATTCGGCGAAATGCCCCGTGAACGTGAGAAAAGGTGCTGAATGATGTTGCTGTGCATTCAACAGTATCTGCGCTTCACAGCTTGATGTAATCTGCTCGGACGAGCCAATTTTCTAGACATCATTCGATGGAGGTTCCAGTGCTCTTTGATATTTCCGAAAGTACACAATAGGAGTTTCACAATCGCTCAGCACGGAATTTCGTGAGCAAATTTTCACCCCTATTATTTTCAATCATAATATTCAGCTCAAACAGACGAGGGCGAAAAACAAAGGGGTTAAACGACAAGAGAAAGAGAAAAAATAAACAGAGCATAAAACAGCGAGGTTCTGTGGGAGCTAGTGGAGACAGCAGACTGCAGAGGACTTGAAAACCACGTTCAGGTGCCTTTAAAACGTCCCAGAGAGGCAGGAACTCCACTCTATCGTCAACCAGAAGCGATGCTATTCTACGTTTTCTTCGCACTGATCCTTCTCAGCACCCTCACTGAAGGAGCACCCATGGATTCTGAGGTAAGACCGAGCACTTCAGTCTCCTCATGAGTAAGGCCAACCACAGGCGTGCCCAGCTGCTGCAGTGCATCTCTACTGCTCTTCAGGTGTGCAAGGATGTCGGCCCAGCTGGCTCGTGCAAAAGATACAAGGAGAATGGTTGGTGCACTTCAGAAGATCCAGCCAGGGTCTCCATTGTGGAATACAGATGCCAAAAGACGTGCGGCTTCTGTCACAGTTAAGAAATGAAATAAATCTTTGCAGCGAAGTATCATTACAGCTTCAACGTATAACAACCTTACAACGTATAAGGCCTCCTAACAAACCTACCCTAACATTAGTGCAGCCAG